AAATAGGATAAAGAATTCTATGCTTCTCATGTTTGCACATAAGCCCAAAAATCTCACCATATACAACCTTGAAGCAGAACAGTCCCACAATATTCCTTTTCCTGTCTCTTGCTTTCATTCACCACCCCCTTTTTCCTGTCTCTTGCTTTCATTCACCACCCCCTACCTACAATATTTAAATGGCAATGAAATACCCATTTCTGACAAAACTAAACAAAAAAGGGGGATACAGATAAAGGACCATTTTGTATGTTTATATACAAAATAGTGGGCCAGGGAGATGGCTCACTAAAATAAGCACTTCCCTGGTATGCGCAAGAGCCTGAGTTCAATCACTGGTTCTGCAAAAAAAAGAAAAAGAAAAAACAAAGAAAGAAAGTTAGGATAGATATACAGCTACTTTCTCTTAATTCAATGGGAAGAAAGATTTGTACTAATAGTGTTTGGACAGGATATCATGTCTGCATCTTGTACTATGAATAACCACTACAAAGACAACAATATATAATGTATCAATTATTGAAACTGTCCTACTGATTGATTTTGAAACTGTCTCGTTGCTATTTGTTTCTCAATAAAATTAATTTTAAAAGAAGAATTAGAATATATGAAACAGATTCAAAGAGATATCCAGGAAATTAAAATTTGAATTGAAAGCTAGCAAAACTTCTTGAACAAAACTGAAGATAGACTTTCAGACCTTGAGGACAGCATTGCAGCTAATGATTAAAAAAGGAAAGATCTCCTAAAAATAACAAGAAACAAGGAAATAACAATTCAACAGCTGAAAGACCATGCAAAGAAAAACAATATAAGACTTATAAGTGTCAGTGAAAAATCAGGAGTCAAAAAAATGACATAAAAAGACTAATTACAGAAGTAATTGCAGAAAATTTCTCAGAGCATGGGAAAAGAGTCTGATGTATGAGGCATCTAGAACTCCAATTAGCCATAACCAAAATAAGTCTGCAGCCAGACATGTAATAATGAAGATCCCAGAAATTCAGCATAAGAACAAATATTGAAAGTTGTTAGAAGAAACAGATCACCCATAAAGGAAAAAACATCAGAATCATGGCAGATTTCTCAACACAAACCACCAAGTCAAGAAGAGCTTGTAGTATTTCAACTTCTGAAAGAAAACAGCATCCAACACAGATTGATGTACTTACTCTGTAAAACTATCTTTCAAAATTAATGGAGAAAAATGCTATTTCCATGACAAAGACCTAGTGAAGAAATTTATGACCACTAGACTAACCCTAATGAAAGATATTCTAGAAGGAGATAAAAATGACAATTCCAAAAACAATAATAGAAACAAACAACCAAACAGGGCAAACAATTAAACAGAGGGGAAAACAGGAAACCCACAGCAGGAAAATAACATGACAAAGATAAGCAAATATAGTTATAACCATTAATGTAAATGACCCCAATTCACCAATCAAAAGAAATAGACTAACAGAGTGGATCAAGAAACAAAATGCATTAATATGCTGTATACAAGAAACACATTTAACTCAAAACAAAATTCATAAACTGAAAGGCAAAGGATAGAAAATCTGTTCCATGGTACAGAAACCCAGAAAAAAAGCAGTGGTAGCTATTCTGTTTGCAGACAATGTGAATTTCAAACCAAGAATGGTCAAAACAGATAAAGAAGGTCACTACATACTCGTTAGGGGAAAACTTCAAGAGTAAGAGATAACAAATATATATGCACCAAATACAAAAGCATCAACTACATAAGACAAATATTAATAGACATGAAAAATCAAATGAGCAATAACACAATTGTAATGGGGGACCTGAACACCCAATTAGCACAAAGGAATAGATCAAATAGATTTTAAAAATTAGCAAAGAAATAACATAACTGAACCAAACTTGTGAAGAAATGGACTCAGTAAACCTTTACAGAGTGTTCTACCCAACATCACAATACACATTCTTCTTAGCTGCACATGGGACATTCTCTAAAATAGATCCCATAGAACATGCTGAAGTAAATACAAAGTAATTGAAATTATTTCATGTATATTATCTGATAATACTGCAATTAAATTGGAAATTAATGACAAAAGAAACCACAAAAACTCCACAAACACATGGAAATTAAATAACCCCCTCCTAAACAACCAATGAGGCCGGGGAGATGGCCCAGTGGAATAAGCGCTTCCCTGGCAAGCGCAAGGGCCTGAGTTCAACCCCCGGTTCCACCAAAAAAAAAAAAGATCAACAACCAATGGGTCACAAATGAAATCAAAGAAATTAAACAATATCTACAATCAAATGAAAATATACACACAGCTTACCAGAATCTGTGGGACATAACAAAAGCAGTACTCAGAGAGAAATTTATAGCGGTGAAATCTCACATCAGGAAAACAGAACATATACAAATAAATAATGCTGCACCTCAAGCTTCTAGAAAAAGAAGAGCAACTGAATCCTAAGGCCCAAAGAACTCAGGAAATTATAAAAATCAGAGCAGAAACTAATGCAACAGAGACTAAGGAAACAATATAAAGAATTAATGAAATGAAGAGTTTGTTCTTCAAAAGAATTAGTAAAATTGATGAACCCTTAGCTAATTTTAACAAGAAAAGGAAATAAAAATTTAAATTCATGCAATAAGGAATTAAAAGGGTGAAAACACTATAGATCCTAGAGAAATTCAGACGATCATTAACATTTACTTCAAAAATCTTTATTCTCATAGGACAGAAAACATAGGACAGATTCATAAATACATCTGAATTACCAAAGCTGTATCATGAAAATATAAAGATGTTGAATATCCTAGTATCAGTTAATGAAATTTAAATATAATTAAAAACTTATCAACAAAGAAAAGTCCAGGTCCTTATGAGTTCACAGATGAATTTCACAAGAAATTTAGAGAAGATTTAACACAAATACTTCTTAAACTTATTGATGAAATTGAAAGGGAAATAATTCTCCCTAACTCATTCCTGGAGGCAAGTATTACCATGGAGGAAAGACAGCAAAACCAGAGAAAGACCCAACAAAAAGAGAACTGCAAGCCAATCTCTCTAATGAACATAGATACCAAAATCCACAATAAAATATTAGCAAACAGAATGCAGAAAATCATCACGAAGATTATACATCACAACCAAGTGGTATTCATCACAGAAATGCAGGAATGGTTCAATACACACACATCAATAAATGTAATACACCACATCAACAGAATCAAAGACAAAAATCACATGATCATCTCAATAGATGCACAAAAAGCATGGGACAATGTCCAACACTCATTCATAATTTTTAAAAAAACATAATTTAAAAAAAATTAGAATAGAGAGTCTTTACCTCAATCTGATAAAAGCCATCTATCAAAAAAAAAAAAAAAAAAAGATACCATCATACTAAATGGACAAAAACTGAAAGCTTTCAAACTAAGATCAGGAACAAGACAAGGATGTCCAATATCAGCAGGCCTAGTCAATATAGTTCTGGAAATATTAGCCAGAGCAATTACACAAGAAAAAGCTACAAAAGGAATAAGGATAAGAAAAGAAGTTAAATTATAATTATTTCCAGATGACATAATACTCTACATGGAAGACCCCAAAAACTCAAGCAAAAGAATCCTAGAATTAAGAAGCAAATTCAGTAGCATATCTGGGTATAAAGTAGTACTCAAAAAACAATAGCATTGCTATACACAAACAACAAACTCACTGAGAGAGAAATTAGGGAAACCATACTCTTTACAGTAGCAACCAAGAAAATAAAATATTTAGCAATCAATCTAACAAAGAAAGTAAAAGATCTATACATTGAAAATTATGGTATTCTAAAAAAAGAGAGAGAGAGAGGAGGGAAAACAATTTTAGCAAATAGAAAGACATTCCTTGCTCATGGATAAAAAGAACCAACGTTGTTAAAATGCCCATACTCCCAAAACTGTTACACATATGTAAAGCAATCCCAATGAAAATGCTATTAGTATACCACATAAATCTAGGGAAAATATTCCTAAAATTCATCTGGAACCAGTAGAGACCTAGAATAACAAAAGCAATGCTAGGCAACAAAGGCAAGGCAGGAGGTAACATAATCCTTGACTTGAAATTATACTACAGGTGTAAACCAGCCTGAGCGGCAGCAGCAGGAGCTCCATGGCACCGGGAACAGTGACCCGGACGGAGCGCCGGGTGACACTGGCTGCGGCAACCCGGTGACAGCTTGAGAGGTACCCAATTTGACAAGTTGGCATCATGCGTGAGTATAAGCTAGTCGTTCTTGGCTCAGGAGGCATTGGGAAGTCTGCTCTGACTATACAATTTGTTCAAGGAATTTTTGTTGAAAAATATGATCCTACGATAGAAGATTCTTACAGAAAGCAAGTTGAAGTAGATGCACAGCAGTATATGCTTGAAATTTTGGATACTGCAGGAACAGAACAATTTACAGCAATGAGAGATTTATACATGAAAAATGGACAAGGCTTTGCTTTAGTTTATTCCATCACCGCACAGTCCACATTTAATGATTTACAAGATCTGAGAGAACAGATTCTTTGAGTTAAAGACACTGATGATGTTCCAATGATTCTGGTTGGTAATAAATGTGACTTGGAAGATGAAAGAGTTGTAGGAAAGGAACAAGGTCAAAATCTAGCAAGACAGTGGAACAACTGTGCATTCTTAGAATCTTCTACAAAATCAAAAATAAATGTTAACGAGATCTTTTATGACCTAGTGCGACAAATTAACAGAAAAACTCCAGTGCCTGGGAAGGCCCGCAAAAAGTCATCACGTCAATTGCTTTAATATACTAAATGCATTGTAGCTCTGAGCCAGGTCTGAAGAACTGTTGCCCAATTCAGCAGTGCCAGCATTCCAACTTTGTTAAACCTACCAACATCTTAAATGGACTTTCCTGTGGTGGTACCCTGTAAGAGGCGGATGAAAGCTACTCTGTCAGTTTGCACATTCTAATCATTTCCCAGTATCACAAGAGAGATTTTTACTTATATAATAGTCCTAGAGTACGCAGCTGGTAAAACCAGAGGCTACATCCAGTATTACTGCTAAGAGACATTTCTTCATCCACCAATGTTGTACATGTATGAAAA